TAGATATATAGTGGAAAACACAAGTGGATGACGTAAGCCGATGAGAATCTAAAAGATCCGATTCATATATTGACCCGAACCATTAGATCATGATGACCCGGTAATTTTATTGACCGACCCGTTTACCTGGTATCCTCTCACCATCTACGATCTGACATTTCCCGGAAGAAAAAGTTTTGATCGGTTGAAAAATTATCCTACTTCGAGTTTCGATTGTCTGAAATCATCTAAATTTCTACTTCTCTGTTTGTGATTCTCGTTCTGTACATTTAACTATTGCGATAGTTGAAGCTCGATCACTCCTTCGATTTTTGATCTTAGGGTTCATCATCAAGGTAATTCATTTCCCTATTTTTGTTGTTCTTTTTGTGTTTATAACTTCAAATTGATCGACTTGCGATGATCTGAACATCCCCAAATTCGTAATTTTTCCTTCATTTTATGAGCAAAAATTGATGTTGTTGCGTTAACGTTGTTGCAGACGTTGCATTACGCGTCTGTTGCATCGATTTGCACTTGAAAAGCCTTTAAATTTATGAACTTTAGACACAGAGTTATAGTATTATTGTCTGATTATCAGATAGACGTTTTTTTTGTGTGTGATTTAAGGTGTTAATGAGCTCTTAGAAGCTATGGTAATGGCGTCCATGAGCTCTGGTAGTGAAAGCTTTCGACTTTGTGTGTTTGACTTAAGAAGAGGCCAAAACGAAGGACAGGAACTTGACAAGATCTTGTTCTTCTATCCTCCTGATTTAACCTTCTCAACTCAGCTATCGGTTATCGGGCTAAGCGAAGGGCTTATCACGTTCACGAGGTTAGCTACAAAAGATTTTTCCTTATTTTCAGATATTCAAGCTCATAGATTCATTGGTTTTGTCTCACTGTGCGGATCATATTCACATGGATTTTGAGGAACACATTATGTTTTAAGTAGGCTTTGTGTTTACCTGTATTTTTGGGTGTTTCTGAGAAGTGGTTTATGGAATTTAAATGCAGACTTTTCTCTCCGGAGGCAGCTTGTGAGGTAATAGAAGCAGAGAGACATTCTCATGTTTTCTATGAAGCTGAGTCCGATATATGGATGGTTATGGTACAGCATTATCAACTCTTTTACTTTTTATGCCACTTGCATTTCACATCATTCAGATACATAAAGAGAACGAAACTTGATTCAAGATTTTGGCAGGTTGTAGAGAAAAATAAGGAGATTGAAGCCATATGGAGGGTTGATGCATTGCGGAGAATGCTTAAGGAAGTTCATTCCCTCTTTGTTATGTTTCATGGATCAATTAGGGCATTGCTTGAAAAAGAACAAACTGGAGGGCTTATCCGATCACACTTGTATCCATTCATCACCGACTATTTAAATGGTAAGCAATATCCACCATATGAAGCGCATAAAATCCTTGTGTGATAGTGCTTACCAAAAGGATTTCTATCTTTGAGGCAGATCTTTTTGTTGGGAAGAAACTTCAGTTACCATCCTTCCGTGAAACTTTGAAAGAACGTGGAACGGTTCAGATGCTTACTTTAGCAAGGGACGCGGCATTAGAAGTTCAGGTTTGTAAGATGTCTGAAGATCCAATTCGCCATAACACACTTTATGGTTCACTGTTTTGACTAGTATTTTTGTTAGATGTAACAGTCTCTTGTCGGAGTGCTAGATTCATGTGTGGGTATTGTTCGATGCCACTCTGTGATTTTATTTCATGATCTACTGGTGTCAACAACTCTCTCACCGGTATGTTTTCAAATACCTCACTTGCAATATTCTTACCTAAGACTGTTGTGTCGATCAGATTCTTGATTTGCATGGTATGCGTAGACTATATAGTCCACCAATACTAAAACTTGTAATCTCTGCCATCTCTTTCTCTCTTGTCAGGATGATACTGTCGACTTGTTTACATTTTCTGTCATGAGATTGACCACAAACGCGCAATCCTCTGGCATGAGTTCCTGGTCATATCTACGCAAGGGATCCACTTTATCACAAATCACTTCTAGATCTACCTCGGCGCAACTTCTTGGTTCAACTGATCCATTGCCTTCAGGAAATGGTAATAATGCAGCTCGTGTTATTAGACCGTTACAGCACGAGAAATGGTCAAAAGGGAAAGTCGGGTTTCTTGTTACCGATATCTGGGGTAAAGATGCCACCCCGACAATCTGGCTACAGCAGACGCAAGAAAGAGTTTACCTATTGACGTATCAATACAAGAGTCTCACCTTGGTTCTTCTCGTGCCTACCCCTGCCATTGTTAATGGAGAGCTAGACATCTCATTCGTGAAGCACCAAGTTATTGAAAACGTTAGCTCATCTCTCTAAACCTCTCTTGCGTCACTGTCATAACTTTCCAGGCTCCATCTCTTATCGTTGATATGTATTTTTGCAGGCATCTGCGAAAATCTTGAAAGTCGAAGAGAAGCTATCCAAAGGATGGGGTGGTGAAAACGCTTACCATGTAAGTGGTTACCGTTACTTGCTAGTTGATAACGACATGGAAATTTCCAGAGCTTCTCCACCGGGAAAGGTAGCAACTTTAGCAAAGGTAAAACAGAACATCCATCAATCATACACTGCGATTTGATGAGATTGCATAACCAAAACTGATCGAACGCAACAAAACTTCAGGAGTCTTTACTTGCACTAAACCAGCTAAGGGAAGAAGTGGATTCAGAAAAGAGCCGCACGAAGGTAGAGAGAGACATGGAAATAAGCATTCGAGCGAAGAACAACGCGTGGGTCATCGCTCGTATAACCAGAGGTAAAGAGCTATACATGGCTTTAGAGAAAGCAAGTGAAACTCTTCTTGATGCTACAGACTCTGTCCAAAGATTCAGCAACAGGTAAAAGCTTACTAAATTACTAATCCATGAATTGAGTTTGAAACAAAAGAAAAACGAAATGATGTTTTATCTTTTTGAATCTCTTCAGGTACTGCAGTGGATCATTCTCCATGGATTAGATCCTGCAATTGTTTGTTTTTTGAAGAATTTGCACAAGAAGAGTTTTTTGAAATACTTTGAGCTGTTTAGATTTTTATTGTAAAATAATACAAAGAAAACCGTTACAATGATAATTCGGTATTATAAGGTCAAACAAAACTTCTTTTTTTTTTTTGAAAATTATCCATCAAGCTTTTTAGTATTCATTAATGAGACAATGTTGAAAATGTCTAACATTGTGAATGTTGACAATGTCAAACAAAACTTTAAAAACTAATTTTATTTACTTGGAAATTTCACGAAAGCTTAAAAAGCTTTTTTTTTAAACGTGAATATTGAGAATTTACATGAAGGAGAAAAATTACTTTAATTTACATTTTTAGTAATTCATTAATGAGACAATTTCACCTATTTACATTGGTTCATTAGAGTCTCTGGTTGTTATTTAATTACACATTTCGAATAACAATTTTCGAAATTTGTGAAATCTTTTTTTTCAAGCGTAAGGATTAACGTGAGAGGAGTAATCACGTGTTCCTGCTCCTTCCCATCCCATCCATTCCTCCCACGTGTCACAATCTGGATCATTCATTCCATAGAATCCTTCCTCAGATACATCGAACGGCTGATATTCCTCTGTCCCTTCCATTTGACTCTGTATTTGCTTCAACACAATCTTCAAAAACGCAGAAGAAGAAGAAGAGAATCAATTTTTTGTTACGAAAAACCGAATTCAAATCTGTTTAATTACATAAACACACACTTACATCGTAAGCTTCGTTGATTGTCTGAAACTGTACACCACAATTGCTTCCTCTACAAACATCAGGATGATACTGCAAATAAACCAAATTGATCAGAAAGATATCAAATTTGAGAAACCCAGATGATAAAAATCGAAGCTTTAGCTCCTAATTTGCGACAAGGATTATCAGATCTAAAATGATCGAGAAAAAGTCAAAACCTTTTTGGCGAGTTGTCTGAAAGCTTTCTTGACCTCGTATTCAGATGAATCAGGTCGGATCCTAAGAGTTTTATAAGGATCCAT